TTTTGTATTTATTTTACACACATTTAATGCCAGATAACCACAAACACACACTAACAAATACACAATTTTAAGCAAGATATAATGGGAAGTCACACATACATGTGCTCATCCATCCATAGAATATGAAACAGGTATATAGATAGGCAATCTATAATAAAGACATTTACTATATATACACCTTGACCAGCAGGCCCAAATACCATTTAAACTTAGCATAGATTCCTGTGTGCAATTAAAAAAAAAAAAGCAACACAGATCATGCAAAAGAAAGACACATTAGAATTGGTTTACTAAAGAAATAAAGACTATCCACTTAGCAAATTGTATTTAAACTTTGTAAAGTGATGGATCACTTAGTATAGTGAATAAAGCAAAACTATGTTCAATTTAAACACCTAATCAATGAGCTATTAAAAAAATACAAACCAAAAATAAAGAATTGCTTGCTTGATGATTGAAATTAACGCAGCTGCCCTTTATTATGTACTAAGCTAAGGGAACATTCATTTTAAAGTGTACATACTTTAAAGTGAACATTCATGTTATCTTGCACATATTTTACAAAGTGAACATTTGCTTAGTGAACTCTCTACTCCTTTAATTATGGGGAAGGTTCCAAAAGATTCACAAAGCCCTCCCCTGCAGTATGTACATATCCTGCTCTGTGTTCTTATAGATCTGTACACATCATATCTTCCATTGATACATGTTAGAATAGTCGGGCCAATAACTCCAGCGGCCCTACAAAAACATACTGGGACATTGGGAGACTTCAAGGCTCCTACAATTAATAAGCTGCAAGCACTTCCATAGTTAATAAACTAAAAAAGATAAACGGAATTCCCATCTGTTGTAACAAACCAATTCTATAGGGAGGATTTACTAAAGTATATATTCAGATGGCTCATTAAAGTTGCATTCACATCAATCACAGGGCAAATTTCATTTGAATTCCTCTGCACAGAAGTCCATGTTCTAAGGTCACGGGACTAAGTGAAAATTGTACGGATTTAGTAAATCACCCCTTTAAATCCATCATCCAGTTATCCATCTCTCGACATGTTTTTACATTCAAGAAGACCAAGACCAAGGGCAGCAGCAGAACCAGACTTGAGGAAATTGCATTAAAAACTAGCACCTATTGCAACCAACGCTGGAATAGCGACACAAAGACCAGAGCGATGTAAATTGGAGATGTCCACAGCAGAGAATCCTGTTTAAGTTGGAGAAGGCTGGGTGGGCATTTATCTATATTTCCATCAGCTTTTACATATATAAAAAAACTCTATAGGGAAGCTTGTTACTTACAAGAATGAAGACACTCAATAATAGTCGTGGCGTCTATGAAGTATCCTCCACAGAGAACACACATGAGATGGGGGTTCAGCTCCGTGATTTTGATCCTGGTCGTCCGATGCATGATTGCTCTGTAGAAAGGTTTTCTCTCTCTCTCAATCTCTGCAAGAAACAGTCAATAATTCACAGCTGGCCCCATGAACAAATGCAAGGAGAGGTTTTCCTTAACAAATCGCACACAGACAACAAGTTAAATGTACAGCATACCCTGCAAGCTAACGAGACTTTATTACAGGGGGACTAGAGACCCGTCCCGACATTTACTACATGAACAGCCATTCCATAAAAGCAGAACGGCTGCAACAGAAAATGAATGATATGGATGGCATAAATGTAACAGATTTACAAAGCTGATGTACACATACACATTCTCGTCCATAATCAACCAAGATTTCAGGTTTGCGGGCGTACAACTTAATCGCACCAGTCATGCAAAATCGCAGGCAATGCCGATGTGGAAGGTACCCAACCTATTATATTCGGGCCCCTGCGACCTCTACAAGTTGGACGATGATTGAAGCCAGGGCAGTATGGGAAGGGGGACATGAACCTAGGGTGCAGACCTGACACGGGAGGCTAGGGATAGACCATCCAGGAAAGACACCGGGAGATGCCAGATAGACTATATTCACTATGAAAGGAGCACATTGCCGTGTGCTGGTGCCCAAACTGCAATCCTCCCGTTACTATGGCAACCTACACTTACACTTGGCATCCTGCCACCGCCTGGAGATGGGGAGGAAACCCAGGCGCGGAGTCACACAGAGGTGCTGGAGGGGGGGACATGTACCTGCCGGGGTGGGGGGCACTGCCATTTAACCCTTTCCATCTTCCCGCTGAGAAAAAGAGCGAATATAAATCACCCACCTAAGTCAGAACTACCTACAGCATTCATCGGGCTCATCTAGGAGGCAAGCAGGCAGCGAAAAGGCAAACTAGATCCACATGTGCGGTCAGTGGATCCCACAAAAAGGCACAGGCCAATAAAAAGCAGCATGGCGCTTAATAAACAGCTCAGCTCCTAAATATCTGCGATCCAACCCAGGAGAGCTGGAGGAATCGGAGGAGGAAAGCGAGGACCTTTCCAGCAAATACACGGAGAGATCCAGAGAAGCAAACACATCACACAGAGATCTGAAGTGCAGAGGGCGGGTGGGGGGCGAGCAGGAGAGGGGAAGGAGCAGAAAACTAAGAGGCGCCCAGTACAGTTCAGGGAACAGACAAAGAGCTGAGAGGGAGGGAAGGAAGGAGAGAGCCGGGGGTCACACACTGCCTCTACCCTCGCCATACACACCAGGAACGGGGTGATTCTACACCCACCCCCACTTCCAGGAGTAACACCCCCCCAGCGCACCCCTCGTTTATTTTATCCTGGATGACAGCGAAGGATTTGTGCGCTTTCGCAACCGAAATAAATAAAATAAATAAAAATCAGCCGCAGCGAAACTGGAAGTGACAACGTCCTTGAAATTTGCTGACACCCCCCCCCCCCCCTACACTACACCTGTACACCTGACAAGTGCACCTCACAGGGAAAGGGAGGAACCCTGGACAGCTGTGAATCAAGGGTGCAATGTGACCCCCCAAAAAGGGACAGCCGGCTATTACTGACTCCAAAACAGTACAGGGGGTCGCTACTTGTATTTATAAAAATAAATACATAATTTTAAAAAACACATTAGCTCTGATGGGGATCAGAACTGGTGAGATCTGCGAAGAACAAACGAAAAATGCCGTTTATTAAAGTTTGCTGTAACTACTGAGGATCAGAGAGTAATATTCGCAGGAGATTCGCGGGTGACACAGCAAACGTCGGGAGATAAAGACTCAGGAGAACAGGAAGAGCTGGAGCAGAAGAAGCATTTAATAGATAGAGAGATAGATAGATAGATAGAGAGATAGATAGATAGATAGATAGATAGATAGATAGATAGATAGATAGATAGATAGATAGATGAGTACCCGAACACTGGAGGAGCTCACTGATGAACAGCTTTGGCAAACAACCCTCCCAGGGAAATTAAAAAGAAAGTTATGTTTTCAATTTTCGGCCGGGGAAAGTACAAGTCTGTCTACCTTCTACAAGACACATTGTACCTCCACATCTCATTTTAAAAGCATGCCAACCCTGGCAGTCCATAACTAGAAGAAGAACTTCAAGGAGACCACCAGAGCCCGGCCACCACATGGGGTAAATACCAAAAAAGGTCCAAAGTCCCAAAGACAACTAGAGAAAGGCAGGTGAAAATGGAGCAAAGTTGTATGACCCTCTCTCTCTCTCTCTCTCTCTCTCTCTCCATTAACGCCAACTACAAACTCCAAATGCCAAGAAAACTTTTCAAGATTAAGGAATTTACCAACAGGATCAAAGTAGACAATACACAAACACCCCAAAACAATAGACCCTTGTGCCTTATATCCTAATATCACATCACCCACAAGAAATCCACGCACAAGGTATGAATTTATCCAACACAGACACAACATGAGGGGGCTTAACTGGCAATTCAACTACTGCTCCCAGGCATTTGGAGATTTTCTTCTTCAACTTGCTTTGTAGAAACCAATGGATTTATCTCTTCTGATCTGTCAAATTTCCTCCTATCCTAAAGATAGTGATCACCCCAATCTGGGCATTAGGAGGTGATCTAGGCATTGTCATTTATCACAAGGAAAACAAAATGAGCACCTTTTTGAGAAAATAATCCTATGCACAGCTCAGATCTATACAGAACAAGAAAAGCAGCAACAAAGCATTTGTTACATGAGAGCATCATCATCCAATAACTTCCCAAACACACAGGCAGGAATGAAATGTGACAACATAGCCTTGGAATGAAACCTTTGTTACGGGCCTGTCAGTAAGGGACGAGGGAGTGTGGGGGAAAAGCAGGAAGCCAGTGCTGTGGAAATCTGTTAGGGCCACATTGGGTTAATGTTCACAGAGTTACAGAGCCATGAAATATATCATTGACATACAAACATGCAGCTATTGTCAAGCCAGGGATCCTGCTATAGAAAATGGCACGGCTAGTTTATTGAGCAATATCCCAGAGCTTCCAGGCAGCGTGTTTATATATATATATATACATATACATACACACATACACACATACACACACAGGAGACCGTCCCAGCTACACACAGAACAGCTGTGTCCAAGTCATTGGACACAGTGGAAGAAACAACAAGCCTTGGAGGTCTATCAGCACAATTCAGCACAAGATGGACCAAGCAAAAAAAAAGGGACCTGGAAATCTTGTCCTGAATAATGAACTCGAAATGCAAATACAAAATATGTACAATACTCAACTGTGTTGCTGTGATGGGCTAATACAGAAATAGTCACCACACACTTGAAGACAGAGTGGGAACAAAGTTATGAACATGATCTAATGTTACCACTCAATTCCCAAAGCATTAGTCCCAGCACCCGACAAATACAGGAGAGCAACTTCAAACACAAGTCAGTGGAAACATTTATCTTAACAAAAAACAAACAAACAACAACAGCTGAAACAGGGTTTTCCCCTCCAACCTTCATGCCAGTGATCGCTCCTCCAGCCCTCCTGTCCCTCTATGGGTCATTATGCAAAGTATATGGAAACATGGCAGGGTGACCACACCGTAACCCCACTGGCACTCTGGGTCACAGAGCAGAGTGGTTTTTTTGTTTCTTTCTGAATTTTGTGATCTGCTGGAAGGATTCTACAAGGGCTCTCTCAGTGTAGTGGAAGAGGGAAGGCCAGTGAGCTTCTCTGGCAATTGTGATTTACGGTCACAAGCTAAGAAGCCCTAGTAGCAGCAGCGGAGCTGAACCATGCAATAAGCTCTCGCACAAAGGAGGAGGATGCACATGAAATGACAACTGTACACACAATATTAAACAGCCACCAGGAATAAATCAGCACAGGGGTGTCCTCTTATTGTTTTTTCTCAGTAATATATATATACACACACACACACACACACACACACATACAGAATTACGCGCACACACACACATTCACACAGAGAAGCATACGAAGGCAAAACCAGATATTTGCTTGCTTGTTTTCGTCTCCTTTAGACTGAATGGGCAACACAGCTGCAAAAAAAAAGCCCCCGAGGGTGGCAAACTGACCCAGGCATGTGGGCTACACGGCTCAGATGGCACGTTATGACCAAGCTGGCACCACCAGTCCCACTCCCAGCAATGCCAGGCTACCAAGACCCTGGTGGTAGGGGTGCTACAGCTGGCAAAGTGGGGTGTAAAAGTCTGACATGGAGCAAGGGGGAGGGGGCAGGCTGACATGGAGCAGAAGAGGTGGGGGCATGAATATATAGAGAGGGAGATCACCAGGGCTCAGATTGGGCAGCCCAGAATGTACACACTGCACTCACAATGTACACACACACAGTGCACTCAGCACAGCCCGGCTACACATTCTTCCTCCTCCTCCTCCTCTGTGCATCGACCAATGTGCCCCTTTTTTCTGCACCACATCCACCCCCGACACAGGGAAAGAAGGATCACCCGCTGCTAAAGCCAAGCAGGTCGAATCAGAACACACTCACTCCATGGCGGAGCCATTATTTACCCCGGGTTCACTTTCATCAAATTCTTCTTTTTGTCAACCAGCTCCGGAGTTGGCTCATCCGTTCGGGAGTGTGCTGCTGCAGAGCTCATAGGGGTGTGAGTCGGTGGGGTGCCCGACAAATAAACCTACAACAGCGCACCCCTAAAATGATGAGCGAACTCCGGGGCTGGTAAACCACAACCATTGAAACATTGATTGCTGGGACCAGACGGCACGATTTCCATGAATGAAACAGCAATGTGACCAGACAAAATGTCCTCTACATTTCACAGAAGATGAATGTAACAGCAATGTGACCGCTCCGTGTTACAAATGTATCTTCTGCGGGCAGCGTCAAAACTAGCGTTCAGTCTCATGGTAGTTACAAGGGGTATCTATTGTGCTGTGATTGTACGGAGGTTATGTAACAAAAAGAGACGCTGAGGAGCACCTGGCAATGCTTACTACTGGGCTGCAAAACCATTATATTGTACTTACTACTAGCATTGCAGCGCTATAACCATATTATAACTATACTTTCTGTATACTTACTAGAGGTAGCGCTATAACCACATAGTACTAACTACATGTACAGCTCCAGAACTATATTATAGTTGATATATATTTACTAGAGGTGGTACTACAACCACATAGTACTAACTAGAGGTACAGCTCCAGAACTATATTATAGTTGATATATATTTACTAGAGGTGGTACTACAACCACATAGTACTAACTAGAGGTACAGCTCCAGAACTATATTATAGTTGATATATATTTACTAGAGGTGGTACTACAACCACATAGTACTAACTAGAGGTGGCACTACAACCACATAGTACTTACTAGAGGTACAGCGCTATAACCATATAACTATAATAGACTTAATAAATACTTAATCGAGCTACAACGCTATAACTATATTATACTTACTATATATTACTAGAGGTAGCTCTACAACCACCTAGGACTTACTAGAGGTGCAGCGCTATTACCACATAGTACTTACTACAGGTACAGATCTAGAATTATATCATAGTTCATATATATTTACTATTGGTGGCACTACAACCACGTAGTACTAACTAGAGGTACAGCTCTAGAATTATATTATAGTTAATATATATTTAGTAGAGGTGGCACTACAACCACATAGTACTTACTAGGAGTATACAGCGCTATAACCATATAACTATAATATGCTTAATACTGGAGCTACAACGCTACAACTATACTATGCTTAATACATATTACTAGAGATACAGCGCTGTAACCGCATACTTACTACAGGTGCAGCGCTATATCTATACTATACTTGCTATATATTACTAGAGGTGGCACTACAACCACATAGTACTTGCTAGGAGTACATCGCTATAATCGTGTACTGTAATTTCTAGGCATGCTGTGCTATAATCATATACTGAATGTTCTCACACCGGGGGCATACGGTTTGTAGTGTACTTACTATCCGTGCAGCGCTACAACCGTACTGTACTTCCACAGGGAACGGGGTATAGCCATGAATGTGCTGTGTGGAGGAGCTGTGCTATACCCACACTGTTCTCACTAGGGGCAGAGCGCTGTTTGCTGATGGTATGTACTCCGCACAGCGTTATAACCGCATTGTACATACTAGGGGTACAACGATGTAGCCATACACTACAATCATATATTACCTAACGCTTCATCTATACCGTACTTACTAAAGGTCTATCACTCTGATCGCGCTGTATACAATTATACAGGATTTAATATAGCTCCAGTGATGTAGCCGTAGCGTGCTCATTGTAATTAGTAGGAGTATCGCTCTTCCAGCAAATTGTGTTTCTTGAAAGGGCGATGGCGGGATAACTATAACGTTACTAAAAAAATAAAAATAAATAACAAAACACTGCACGTTTACAATACAGTAAAATGGGAACAGCGTTATAAGCAGAATGTCTGTTTGTATTTACTAAAGCTACAGCGCTACAAACAGGCAGCAATGATGGTAAATAGTGCAGCGCTATGCTGAGCTTACTAGAGGTAATACAAGCACACTGAGCTCAGACTACACCCAATGTACATATTACACCCTACAACCACCCTGTACTTATATGAGCTCCTAGTACAGCACCGTACAGACTATACCTATGTATGTATTAGGGGAACAGCGCTCAACATACACACGAGATACAAGAGGCAGGGCGCTACAACCATCCTGAATACATTGTATTCACTAAAAGTACAGCGCTACCTACAACCATCCTGTATACATTGTATTCACTAAAGGTACAGCGCGGCAACCATCCTGTATACATTGTATTCACTAAAGGCACAGCTACTGCTCTCTAACCATATTACTGCATTTACTACAGATACAGCACTGCAACCACACTGTATTTACTAATGGTACATCGCTACTACCACACTGTACTTACGAAATGTACAGCGCTTCAACCACACTTAATAAATCTACAGCGTTATAACCAAACTATACTTGCTGCTGTATTCAGTAAAGACACAGCCCTGCCACCATACTGTACTTACTGTATTTACTAAAGACACAGCCCTGCCACCATACTGTACTTACTGTATTTACTAAAGACACAGCCCTGCCACCATACTGTACTTACTGTATTTACTAAAGACACAGCCCTACCACCATACTGTACTTACTAAAGGTATAGCCCTTTAACCATTATTCTTACAGTCTACTTACAATAAATATTACTGCATTTACTACAGATACAGCACTGCAACCACACTGTATTTACTAATGGTACATCGCTACTACCACACTGTACTTACGAAATGTACAGCGCTTCAACCACACTTAATAAATCTACAGCGTTATAACCAAACTACTTCAACCACACTTAATAAATCTACAGCGTTATAACCAAACTATACTTGCTGCTGTATTCAGTAAAGACACAGCCCTGCCACCATACTGTACTTACTGTATTTACTAAAGACACAGCCCTGCCACCATACTGTACTTACTGTATTTACTAAAGACACAGCCCTACCACCATACTGTACTTACTAAAGGTATAGCCCTTTAACCATTATTCTTACAGTCTACTTACAATATTTAGTGGATGTATATCGACACAACCATACCGTACCCACTGTATTTACTAAAGGTACAAACATACAAAACGTGTGCTATGCACTGTGCGGTGCTATGCGCATACTGTGAGAAGTGCATTTTCTAGGGGCACTCTACAACCACTAGGAAGGGAAACAAGCGAAGCGTTCTGGGGGTGGGGGAGCTCACAGACCATGGAGGGGTTTGCTGCAGTTACATCGCCATAGTAAGCTGTATTCTCCCGCTGAATGGAAGGCACTGAGTATTGTACATTACCATACAGACGTCGTGTGTGCACCTTCCATGGGAATGACGTTCAGGGCACCATATGACGTCATATAGTTACTGAATGAGATGAGATTAGAGTTATAGAGCTGTACCGCCTGTGTGTAGATCTCAGTCCCGGGAAGAGGTTTCCGGGCTGTGAGGAAGAATTAAAATATAAACTTCTCTGAAATAAAGACCCCCCTCCCCCTACTCTGTACGAACGTACATAGGACTTCATTTATTGACACGTTCAATAAGGCAACGACGAGAGCAACGAAGATATGCAAGGGATGCAGTTACCCCTGCCAGCCAATCACATTTCAGCGTGCTGCACTCGGCGATCTCCAGACGATTCTGATTGGTTAATCCCGGCCAGCGTAGTTTGGGTACCCCCATTGCTCATAGCATTGTCTTATTGAATCAGCTCCAACAATCTCATTATCTGTAGCCACCCAGCTGTGGGGTGCATTGCACATCGCTGCCCCTTTGTATATCATTGATTGATATTCAGGTTCTGCTGATAGGAGGAGCGGGATAATCCCACCAGAGTACTGTGACTGTGAACATTATTGACCCC